AGTTAGCAATGGGGGAACGGATAGGGGAGGGGGGAATCCCTGCCGGGAGCAGTGAATGACATTCACCGCTCTCTGCAGGGAGAAGATCGGGAAGTGAGCCATCAGCAGTATGTGATCACTCAGTACTCGATCAATAGAGCTGACCTGTGCCTGATGCAGTGTCACACATCAGCTCCAACTATTGGGATGAGTGTATTTTACTCATCCCATATTTCTCCTTTTAATAAATATCAGACTTTGCCTCTGATGTTTGATTCAACAGGATATTAAAAAAATGAAAAAAGCATAGACAAACATGATGGGACCCGTAACCTAATATTTTGTTGCACAAGCTGTAGAGGCAATCATTGCAAATGTCTGTAGCTCTCAATGAGACTTCTCACCCACCAACAGGTACTTTGGCCCATTCTTATGCAAACTGCTCCAGCTGTCTCAGGTTTGAAGGGTGCCTTCTCCAGGCTGCATGTTTTAGCTCTTTCTATAGATGTGCAATAGAATTCAGATCAGGGCCACTTCAGAGTGTGTTTTGGGTCACTATTCTGTGGGAGGACCCATGACCTGCGACAGGCACATGAGACAATTGCTTTTAATATCAATATTTTTTTCAGGAGGAATGAGGGCTCGTTCGACCCAGCATGACAGGTATGCATACAGTTCCTTTGTTAATGCGCCAATCCCAATGAATCACACTATTACCTTTTTTTTGTAGAACTTTATTGAAATGTCACCTGTAGCATTTCTTGAAGTGCTATCAGCACAGGGAGGCGTGATGCGGTTGTACCGTGCCAAACTGTGCTCTGCTGGGGAAAAAAGGGCTGCATGCAGTACTTTTTTTTTTCTCCAGAGCACAACACTTCAATGCAATGTCTGTTTAAGATCAGGCAGTTTGCCTTGCCTGTGCATTAGGCTGCACTGACCGCTTTTGCGTTTATGTCGTGAACCAGCCCTAAGCATAGTTTCAATAAGCTGTAAGGGTACCAACAAATTTGTCCACGTCTGTAGATGTTTGCTACCTGCATAGTAAAGAATGTGATTACTACACGGATAAGTGCAATCCATGTGGGAAACATTCATTCTGGTTAATCAAATCTTCCCACCACCTAAGAAGGCTCAGACAGGTGATATCTTCTATGATCGGGTAGGGTCTTCTGGCGCATGGTTGTTCCCTAATTCAAGCATGAACGGCTGGGTCAAGCAGATTTTCTTCACTGCCTCTAGGCACCTTTTAAAGGGAACAGCAGTGCCAGTTCCGACTACTTAAACATTTTGACAAATCCTCCTCAAAAATTAAAACTCTAACATTTCTCTACCAATGCTTACTGTAACCGGTTACACAAAGCCATCACATTGTTTTTCTCAACGCTGTACATTGTTGTATGTGGCGTATGTTGTAAGTGAAGTGTTGTGGTGTTGTATTCGATAATTGTTAAAGTATTTATGTTTCATTGTTATGTTGGAACATTTCTGTACATTCACTAATGTCTTTTACTGCAACTAATTCACTTGAGACCAAAAACAGTGTTAGGAACGATCATGGATTCTGACAATGGCCCATGCCGTTAAGTCTAAATGACATTTTGTGATGATTGTACAGTTTGTATGTATTTTGTACATTTATATGTTTTATACATTGAAATACAGTGCCACCCATCCCTTGACATTTTGGTTTCTTTTTTAAAGGTTTAGGAAAAAGGCACATACATTACACGTATAGGGACCTTGTCCAGAAATGCCAGATCTCAAACCTTACTGTCATACCCACCATTAAAGTACTGCTATTGCTGTCTCCTTCTGAAAATACTAGCTGGCTGTCAGTGGGTTGGAGGCTGGAGTCTGTATGCGAGGTAGCCACCATTAAGGTGCTCCTATCCAAGGTAAAGGTAACTATAACCAAGCGCCATTTTGTGGAGGAAGTTGGTATTTATAGGTACTGGTGCCTCCGTGATGTCACAGGAGGAGGAGGCATTGGTTTCACTACTATGCACTGTCTCTTCAAGAGCATACACAATGTATACACATTTCCCTAACACTATACTGTTGTCAGCAGCAGGGGGTGCCGGAGGCCTTATAGGATCTACTGAGCTCAGCTGAGCCTTCACAACAGGAAGATCCCTGCTATCATCCCTGCTCAATGCCTGACGGTGCGGGACCTGGAGAAGCTGCGGGCTCATGGACATGACATGCAGGCTGTGCCCATGGCCCGCAGCAGGTAAGTCCTTACATTGGCTTTAATATAATATATGGCCACAGCAGAGCCCTAGCTACCATGAGGCAACACAGCCGCGGCTCGGCAGGGAGAAGAATAGTGGCACAGGCTCCATCTTCTCTTCGGATCCCCGCTGCTCTCTCCCGCCTGTATGGGCAGAGGCAGAGGGGATCCGGTGAAAAATAGAGCGCTGCAGCCAGCAGGGGAAGGGGGCTGGGAGGGAGCTGTCACTTCAGGATAGCCAAGCTTGGACAGCCAGCGGCTCTCTCTCTCCTCACCAGTCGACCATCCTGAAGTTTCTGCTTCCAACACACAGTCGGGGACGAAATGTTCACTTGCTGCCTAATATAGCCCACCCACTTCCAGGTCCCGTATATATAATGTTAGGGGGTTTTAAGTCATTTTCAGGCCTAAAATGTGGAATATAACATGGGTGCAAAAAATGAAAAAAGGGCCTCAGTCATGAAGGGGTTAAACGTGTGGTGAAATTAAATCGTAAAAGATCAACAGTACAACTCACAGCTATGTTTAACAGGCCAATTAAGCTGTCACAGGCCATTAAATGTCTTATGGAGAATGAAGAACACCTAAACAGTTGTCTGTGCTCTGTAGCTTTGGGACCCACCACTATTTCTTGTGTGACTTACCTAGTGGACAGAAATGGTACCAATATGTGGCCCAAAAATTACAACCAGATAGACTGTTTGTGCAAATTATCTTCATCTTACAAACATAACAGCTGACTCAATGGGGTTGTAAAGTGAAAATTCACTTGCAATGTAAACAGCTTATTTGCCTTTAGTAAATCAACCCAAAAATCTCCTGTTTCTTAGGACTGCTATCTTCTGGCAATGGGTATCCAAAAGCTACATTCTCAGCATGGGTTAGAAATCCACAGATCTTGCTGGGGATAGAGACAAAATGACAAATATCTTAGCCTTGGTTACCCATAAGGAAGTGAACGCAAACATTGTCCGTACAAATAACTGACCCAGTCTTTTCAATACTTCATTTATTGATACAGTGCATACAATAATGAATAAAGGTTTCTAAATTACTTTTTATCCAAAAGAATGAACAACATGGCTTTATTACTAACGGAAGAGATTACACTAAGTCTCTGTTTCTACTTAAACACAACTCAACGGCATATTACTGTAGCTGTTTTCTCAGAATCTGAATAGTTTATCTTCTTATTGCCGCAACAATTCTCCCTAGCTCTAGGACATTACAGTACTATTACCACAAGCCTTAGAAAGGGATGAGATGACTGTGATAATTGATATATATTTTTAAGATACACCATCAGCAAATGAAAATGAATGTTCTAAGCAAAATATACCTAGTGTGTCAATAGGGTCCAAATGCTGGTCTTCGGTAGCACTAACCTGGCTCTGGAAGTTCTCAGCTCAGTGCTAAAAACATGTAAATAAAAAAGCATGCCCCATGTGTCCTGAACCCTAACCTTTAAGCTGACCCTAAAACTTAACCCCAACCCACATACAAACCCTAAAACAGAAAAGGAATCTATCAGGATAGAAATATAGGAGCTTCCCTTGAAGTTCTACACCCTGCACTCGACAGGTGACCCAATAGAATTCGAAGGGGATTCCCTGCACAATAGCGAACAACCAGCAGAGAGGATATACATATTATGGGAGGCCACGCAGCTCACGTAAATAAGCAGCTATGGGAGAGGAAAGTTGGACAGCTTTCCATTAGAGCGACTAGGCAGGGTAGATAAGTGTACTTGAATGACCAAAGCCCTAACTAAACCAATTTTGAAGGTAAAAGCACAGAAAGAAGACCCTGTTACCAGATCATTAATTTCAACAACAATCTTCTCATAATATTATATGTACATTTAACATATTTTAGGCATGTTAATTACTAGTAAATGCCTCCCTTCTGAAGACATCCAAAGCCCTTAGACTGCTGATGCGCGCTGCCATCTTGGATGTGATGTCAGCAGCCCCAGCAGACTCAGAGCTGTCACTCAAGTGACAATTTATAGCATTCCCCTTCATTCCCCCAGAATTCAGGAGCTGACAATAATTAGACACTCTTAGAAGAGAAGAGGGCTATGATGTGCAAGGATGAAGAGGACTGCTCTAGTGAACTGACACTTCTGAAGTGTCAATTTCCCAGCAAGTTTAGAGACACATCGCAATTCACTAAAAATTGATTTTGGAAAGAAAAAACACTGCAAGCAAGCAATTAGAAACTTTGTTTTTCTGTGTTTTATTTGCATTTTTTTCATTTGGTGACAGGGTCTCTTTAATTCCTAATCCTCACCCTAGGGGTTTGTGGACATCAGAACTACTTTTCTCCGCATATAAGTCAACAGCAATCCAAAGGAGAAGGATCTGAAAACAAACTGAATGCCGAGCTTGCAATAATCTATTTCTTTTGCAGCTCGTTTGCACAAGCCTTGAATTAATAGTTTCAGTACTACATAGGAGTTTAGAGTTTTGGTGTATATTTGGCCTTTTGGAGTGGAAAGCCCCTGTAAAAAAAAAAAACCTATTAAAAGGTTAGGCAACTGATGCAACATGAGACATTTTGAAAGATTTTTTTTTTTTTTTTTTAAAAGCTTTTCTACTAATTAAATATACAATAAACATATAAAAAAAATATTTAAACCTAATTACCAATAAAGAATATTTATATTAAAAAAAATAAGAAAACATAAGATCCTTATGTGGTGTACCGTGTTTAAGTGCATAAGTTGAAATATTTTTTACATCAGAGAACCAAACTAGTTTGAAATAAAGTGTAAAAGTGTTTTGCTTCTTCAGTGAAGTGCTATCTCTGTAGAAATATGGTTTCGAATATATATCAAAAACATACAACGTGAATCTTTCAGCACAGTTTCTCTATGGTACACAGAAAAGTCAAGTGACATAAACCGAGATTGAAGTATTTACAGTACAAATCACTAATTAAAAGGAAAGACAAAAAAGATCATCTTTAAGCCACTGCCTGCAATAGCACTCTGGAGATTTGTATTATGATACAGAAGAGATGGGATTGTGTGGGGAGCCCATCTGGGTCAGAACCTTGTCTAACCATTGCAGGGGACCGTGAAGATGGATCTCAATCCAACATGGAGTGCTGGTGACGTCTTGACGGTGATATTCCGCTCCCCAGCCCTAAAAAAATAAAACAGAAAAGCAGGTTTTTACCCAGTTCAGATCTCGCACCTGTAAACCCCTTATGTACCAGAATCATTTTTCCATTCCTGCTATGGGCCTAAAAATTCGGCAATTACTGTATTATCATGTAACCACTTGGGTAGGTGGACCTACCGTACGTACATTTTATTTCCATTGTATGCGGACAAAGCTGATACTTCCATTGTCATTAGACAGCAAAGCTTGGGGCGGCTCTGTGCCATTTGATCACCGGGATGAGCAATCACAGAAATCACCAAGTAGTATTGTGTACATTGGTAAGCCCTCCCCTCTCACAACACAGGAAGGGCAGTGGAAGGATTTAATGAATGAATCCATTCATTAAAGCTGAACTCTGGTTAAGAATATTCTTAACCTTTGCAGTGGGGCTACCCCAGAACACCAGCAGATATAGAGGGACAACAAATCCCAGCTATAATATATTAAGCAGCCTGTATAATGTATTATTGCTGGGATTTGTTGTTCCTCTATAGCTGGTGGTATTCTGCATTGCGCCATATAATCATTATAAAGCTCAATGCAGAATACCACCAGCTATAGAGGAATACAACAAATGCCAGCAATAATAAATTATACAGCGCAATGCAAAATAACGCCAGCTACAGAGGACTGCAAATCCCAGCAATATTACACCATAGTGTACTATTGCTGCGATCTGTTGTATTCCTCTATAGCTGCTAATATTCTGCATTATGCCGCTGTATAATGTACTATATTGCACACCACACTTTTTTTTTTTTCTTCCACCGCACCAAGCTTGCTCCTGTGATGGACTACAATCTCAATACAAACTAGTAGTCCATCACTGGTGCCTTTTTTCTTATCCGATTAATCGAACGCAATAATGGGCCAACTAATCGATTTTGAAAATAATCGTTAGCTGCAGCCCTACATATGTGGTATATTTAGCATCATGCAGTGTCTGCAAATAAGGACTTATTGGAGGGCGCAATATCTATTTTTTTAACCCTTCCATACAGTATGTGCACATTCCATCAGATGCTATAAGAGGTATGTTCTCTTCTGTTTATATCTTGTATATACTTTTAACCAGTTTGCAGTTTCTCTTTAAAGTGACACTAAACTCAGAAGTAAAATCTTAAAAATACATTCAAGTACCTTCACTATTAACAAAAAAAATGTGTGTATTACTCGGCTGTAGATCCTCAAATCATCTCTGAAATGGTGCTGACATTGCCATGCATGCAAACGCTGCATGGCATTTCTCAAGGTGGTTCTACTGATGGTGACAGCTGTGGACCTTGCTTGTACAATGTGGGTTAAAGCAAACACTTGTATTCTTCACTGAAAGTCTGTGCGACATTTCTGACATCACAGGAGAGACAGAGTGTTGGCAAGCTATAACAAGAAGTGCCTGAACAAGGACCTTCATGTCAGGATTAGGGATGAGCCGAACACCCCCGTGTTCGGTTCTAATTTGAACTTTCGAACATGGAAAAAGTTCTAATTTGAACTTAGAACTCAATGCAAGTCTATGGGGGTAGAACTCAGAAAATTAAATGTCCCCATTTTGAAACCTTATATGCAATTTATTGGCCATAAAAAGTGTATGGGGATCCGGGTACTGCCCTGGGGGACATGTATCAATGAAAAAAACACTTTTAAAAAATAAAATTTTTAAAGGAGCAGTGATTTAACATCACTTAACATGAAACATTAGAAATGAAAAATTCTTTTAAATATGGTGCCTGGGGGGTCCCCTTTCACTGCCTGTAAAGTGGTGCATCTGTATGATGTATAGAACCTGCTGAAGCAAAAATTACATTTATAAAGAATAAAATGACATTTAAATTGCCGGTAAATGTGTATTGGTAATTTAGTGATTTTTTGGGATAAATGATGGTGCCTCTTTTGCAGGCTTTGGATGAAAGTAAAAACAGGTGCTTTAAAATTGGGCCTTTGGTGCCAGCTAGTGCCTTCACATATATATAGAACTCTATATATAGATAGATATCTATCTATATATAGAGTTCTATATATATATGTGAAGGCACTAGCTGGCACCAAAGGCCCAATTTTAAAGCACCTGTTGTTGATATATCTATATAGAACTGGACTGATATATATGGCACATAATACCCACTAAATTGTGATAATAATGTTACTATGTTTGATAACTAATTAGTTGCACAGCAATTTGTTTAATAGCATTCATGGCTTTATCTCTACTATTTTAATGTAACATATTTCTTGCAAGATGGGATACCTTGTAGCCAGAAATGCATGTTCAGAGCCCATTCTATATAATGTCTGGATACAATTAGCATGGCAGCTGTGAGAAAGACCCAGTGAGGTCAAATCACATTACTGGGAGGATGCCAGCCCAAAAGCCGGCATGGCGGTAACTGCTGGAGATAGGCCAAAAGCAGTCTGGATACATGGCCTGCTTGGAGTGAGTGCTGGAGATTGTAAATTCAGTTTCAGTTGACAACTATGAATCATACCAGCATGTGGCTTCATTGCAAACAGATTCTTTTAACTTTGAATATAAAAAAGGAACTTTCTATAAGTATATTCCGGAGGTGCGGATCGGCTTTATTCTATGCAAGTTTGCTGTGCAATGGAGCACCGAGAATGTGCACTACGGAGATGAACTGGCTGGTCATTCAACATGTGAGCTGTTCAAAATTTTGTATCTAAAATTTAGATGTTTTGCAGAAAACACAAAAAAAAACCCTACAAAATAAATCTGTATTTGAATCCTTTCACTGTCACCAATGTATGCGACCGGGAGTCTGTCCACAAATGTATAGCCCAATATCGGCTTTACACTGGAAGTGATTTGGGCAGCTTTGATCTCTTCCAAGGGCTTTGAAATTCTTCTCCCGGACAGAGAGGTGGGGAAGAAGCTTATCAAGCACGATTTGTGCTTGATCAGCTTCAATGGGCTGCAAAGGTGAGATTAGGGGTCCCATAGACCCCTAATGCCTCCTTGAAGAGAACTACTGAAATGCTATAACATAGGGGGCAAGTGAGCTCCCTTATGTGATAGCAATAAAGTTAAGTAACATTTTTTTAAAAAAAAAGTAAATAAAATAAATGTTAAAAACACCCCCAAATAAATGTGTAAAGTCCCCCGCTCCCATGTACGCACATAATAACGCAAACACGCCACAGATACACCTACATACAAAAATGACTATTGTGCCAGACGTTGGGTATCGCCAAGCAAGCTGGAGTGTGAGCAATAGTTCTAGGGCCATTATTCACAGTTAACTCTAAACTGATGACCTATGAAAGCTTTAAAAGTAAATTTTCCCCTTTTCACGGACAAGTTTGATAGGTTTGGTATCTATTTACTGAGCGCAACCTCATCTTTTATATTTCACCCAAAAATTGGGTAATGCCTTTATGTGCACTCAAATTCATTCACAACTAGCCAAAACTAGAAGTTTTTCAATCGCAGTGCACCACAACACACAATGTATGCATTGTGGTGCAATGCGGTGGAAGTGAGTTGCCTGCTACAGTTTCAGTGCACTGGGGTGTCATTGAACATAAATGGGACTGCACTGCAGTTCATACGCTGCCATGTGTTGCAGTAATGAGCAGTAGATGGTAGTTTTACCACGTTACTACAATGCATTGGTGTGAATGGCGTAGAATTGCTGTTACAAGAAGGCTAAGTGGAAGCAGAGAGGCTTAGTGTTGGGGTACAGGAAAGGCTGGTGTTAGTGAGATCTTGAAGGTTGCAGGGAGAGTTAATGTGAGGATTAGGGTGACAGCCCAATAGCTTTTACATGTATACAATATGTAACAGTTACATTCAAAAAGAAATAGTGCTTACTTTTACAAAGCTCATTCGGATCGTGCACATTTTGGTCAGCTCATACACCACCTCGAACCCTTGGTTAACTGACTGGGACAGAAGCTGGGCAAACAGCTGGTTATTGAATATCTTCAGGCTGCAGCCACTTGGGATCTTGCACACAGTCGCTGGATGGAAGCCATGCTGGTAGTTACAGTTTCGACTTTGTACGAAAATGCTGCTGTCACTGACGCACTCTGCATATACCTCACCACCGACATAGTAGAGGTGAACTCCTAGGTGCAAAAACAAAATCTTGTTTTAGAGGACAGTTTTACTTCATCTGCAGCCACTCCATTAAATGCCATTAATACTTCCTCTAAATTATTTAATGTTCCCGGATCATAAAAAAGTTACACCCCAAACCCACAGCCACCCATTTCATATTCCACTTACTCTTGGATGTTCATCATGGATTGCATTATACTTTCTTCCCATTGAATGAAAGAATGTGTATCACACACAATGTTTACTAAATTAAAAGACAAGAGTAGATCAAAGGGATGCTAACTTATACTAGGCTCTTTCCCAAGGAGACCTATCAAGTAATATCTGATAATAAGAACACCCCCCACATATACAAATGATTTTTTACTGATTTGTATTCAAAAAGTGTCAAGATCATGCAACCTATGAACATAATGGACATGGTACAATAGTCACAAACATACTGAATGAATAACTATTAAATTCGATAGCAAAACAAAATAAAGTCAAAGGTGAAAAAGGCAATACAAACTATGCTGTAACACCCCCAACATTTGGGGGTTTAAACACCTTCATCAGGCAGGACCTCTCTAATGACTTTACTTTGTTGTCCTATTGAATCTGTGGGTATTACTCTAGTATAATATATTATTCATGACTTTATATACAATGTGCATATATTGTTCTCTGAGACTGTGCCTTGGATATCACAGTTTTTAGTACAAGTTAAATATGTGTGCCCAGTGTGTCATTGATGTACTGTGATTACTTATGTTCATCGATGGCATGACATTAATATTTTTATAATGGATACTTTATATAAATATTGGTGAAAAAGCATTTGTATGTGTAGGTATGCCTTGTATCTATATATTGCTTTATACCTGCTGCTTCACATGGACAACTATTAGGTGACGGCCCCGTCTTACTCTAATCAACCGACTATCCTTCGTGTAACACTAACAAGATCAGACTTCATAGCCACACAAAGTACACCAAGGCTGAAAGCAAAGAGACCCACTCTGCATCAGTATACTTAGAAGTAGAAGAGAAAATGATCACCCCAATCTGTTATTAGTTCAGTTCTAGGTAATGTGTCAGTATGCCACCCCTGGTTCTGCAGGCATCTTACCCTGACATTCATAAACATTTTAATCTGATTACAATGGGGCTACAAAGACAAAATAGGCCCGCAGTCTTCCTCTCTTTCTTCATGTGCTTCCGTCCACTTCTTCCATTCCCCCATCCTCCTCTTTTGCCCAATCCCTCCACAGATTGCCTTTTAAGAAATGTGCTACCTCAATCATTTTATATGCATTATATGGTATATTTGCAGTTTTACTAGCAGAGGTTTGTGAGAGAATATAGAAGTCCTCCCTCCATAATTGAGATATATACGCTGCCTGGCCAAAAAAAAAGTCACACCTTCTAATATTGTGTCGGACCGCCTTTAGCTTTGATTATGGCACACATTCTCTATGGCATTGTTTTCATAAGCTTATGCAATGTCACATTTATTTCTGTCCAGAGCTGCATTAGTTTTTCACCAAGATCTTGTAGTGATGATGGGAGAGTCGGACCACTGTGTAAATTCTTCTCTGGCACAGCCCAAACATTCTCAATGGAGTTAAGGTCTGCACTCTGTGGTGGGCAATCCATGTGTGTAAATAATGTCTCATGCTCCCCTAACCACTCTCACAATCTGAGACCGATGAATCCTGGCATTGTCATCTTGGAATATGCCCGTGTAATCAGGGAAGAAAAAATCCATTGCTGGAAAAACCTGGTCATTCAGTATATTCAGGTAGCTCACCTTGGGCAATGTAGGGCACATAACATTGCTGAACCTAGAGATGACCAAATGAAGCAACCCCGGATCATAACACTGCCTGAAATCCAGGTGGTGACTTTTTTTTTTTCCGGCCAGGCAGTGTATATAACTATTTCTTGGGGTTTAAGACCAGTAATATAAATGGCCCTGTCCTCCCCCATTTCTTCTAACTCTACAATTAAGCCCCAAAAGGGGGTAAAACAGATCAGGGGAGAGGAACCCACCCTGATGTCCCCTCCCACCAGCCATGGTCTGCCTGCATTGCGCAGAAAAGCAGAGGCCCAATGCTGATGCCATGGGATCTAAAATAAGGTATGCATAAAAATGGAAACGTTTTAATCATTTCATTAGCATGTTGATGAAATGGGAAAGTAGCAACCAGGGAAAGCAAAATATTACCAGAATAGACTCCAACTTTAACCCCTTCGTGACGGGAGACGTACACTGTATGTCCAGCCACAAAGGGACCAAATGACTTGTCACGTACACTGTACGTGACGAGTTATTTGCTGCTTTAGAGGGCTGTTAATCGCTGAGAATCAGCTTTTAACATTCATTAATGGCTGCCCTTACTACAGAGGCATTCATTAATGAAAGGGTTAACCTTTTTCAGACACCCGATACCTTAATATCGGGTGTCTGAGAGTCAAAGCAAAGCGGACACAGATGCCGGCTTTTGCCGGCATTCTGACAGCTCGTATAGATCGAGAGATATCTCTCTCAAGCTATACTGGCTTTTTTTTTTTTCTTTCATGAATAGATACAAAATGTGTCTATTCCTACAATGTATCTATTCCTGGAAGAAGAATGTTTGTTTGCTGATCGTTGTTGCAACAATCAGAAAACATTTAGTAACAGCTGAATCCTGAACTGCTGCAGGATCAGTGTCACTAACTTATTATCGGCTGTTCTGAAGTTTGAAGCAGCCTGATAATAACCAAAAATTTATTAATTTATCATGCAGTCCAAGGTAGCGGCCGTACGCCACGTGCTCACCTGAACTGCACATCTGTGTGGGTGTCAGTGTCCGTGCTCGTACGCAGACAGGATGGATCCTGCCTGCGTCCGAGCACGGACACCCACACCCGCACGGATGTGCAGCTCGGTGAGCGTACGGCCGCGTACTCCCATAGAGAAGAACAGGCTGCTGGGTACAATCACATGCAGCACCTGTCCTTCCCGGGAGCAGCCTGATACGGCCGCGCACGCCGCATGGATCTGTACGGGCCGGTTCTTAGCAATGTGAATCAGGCCTAATTCTAGTTTCTGATCCCTAATGGTATATTTGCTGCCTGCAGTTCAGGAATTAGAATCACATTCTATAAAGAACTGTCCATTGCAGAGCCAAATAAAGTTACCTTTCCCAATGTGCCGACGGGTGTTCTCAATAGTGGAGTTGCGATTGACATTAGAGAGAAGGCCTAAGCAGAATCTGTTCTTGTTGTTGGAGGGATCCGTGAAACCGTCAATGAGAATGCTGCGAGACGATGCCTGAAACGTTTCTCCCACCCGATTGTTCAGTTCATAATAAGCAACAGAACACCAGTGTAATGGTTCCTCGTAACAAACAGGGCGGAACTCTGTGATAAAAGCAGAATAAATGTAATCTCTCGGACTTGAAATAAAACAAGTGCGAGTGCAAGTATCTCACTTAGTTATGACTAGTTAGGAAGGAGTAAGCCTGTCAAGGTTTATTGCATTACAAAGTGTTGTCAGTCTGACACTGGAAGCATACTGACAGGAGCAAGAGCTCATCAGTTTCTGCTCTGACTGTCCAGTTGGTCCTTGACTCAGCTGCTCCTTGACTCAGCTCCACTGCAATTAATGCGACTTTGTGCTTTAAGATTGTAAGCTCCCACGGGCAGGGCCCTCTTTACCATTTTGTCTTGATTTGTATTGTAACTGTAATGTCTTCCTTATATTGCAAAGCGCTGCGCAAACTGTTGGCGCTATATAAATCCTGTATAATAATAATATCAAACTGTAAATAAAAGTGTTCCCTGCAAAGAAGTGAACACTGACCGCTTTACTGCCTGCACCACCAAATGCTGCCGTAATGAAGAGTCTTCAGAAAGTAGGCTCCATTCACACATGAGCAGTTTTCCGTGCGTATGCGGCTGTACGAATACGCGTGGAACTGGGCTGAACATAGAAAAGAATGCATTGAAATGTGCATTGTTCAGACTATTGCAGTGGCTGCGCGGTATGAAACTGCGCCTCCCGCAAAATAGTACAAGCGCGGTTTTGTGGGCGGATTCCGCATGTACTGGCTATTGTAATAGCCACAAACGGTCAGAATCTGTGCCTATGTTAACATTGGCGCGGTTTCGAAAATGCTACTGCTATGTGTGAATGGAGCTTTAACAATCCCAGGGGTGTCAATCTCCTTGTCCTGCCCTTGGCTCAGTGGTTACTCCAGCCAACCGCTATGCCTCAAGAGCAGTAAGATTGGGGTAGGTGGAAGCAACCACTGATTTTAGCGACAGAATCACATTAACTACACAGGAGTAAAGTGTAGCCATTACCTGGCTATGTTGTCTGGCAGGGGTGCATAGTTCACAAGCTGAACAGAATTACAATTCTTTTAATATGTAACAGGTTACAAATATGTATTCCATCTGTGAATTTAGCTGTTTACCTACAAGTATTGGGTAAATCTCCAAAGGATTTGGATGCATTTAATCTGATGTTATGATCTGACCTGCTAAATACTGCACCTATAGTACCAGTATGTTCCAATAAAACATACAACCTCTTTAAAGCTTTACAATTCTGAGACACATTGGTTCTTTCATTTTTATATAAAGAAGACAAATATCTACCTCTGTTTGTTGCTGATAAAACAAGCTGGCAATCAGTAGAGTCACCGGAGTGTCTGTTTTGGTTCCCGTGGATCTCTGGGGGGTTGTATGGTGGTGGAGGGGTGTCTGAGGGTATAAAGAACAAAGTTAATGTCTGCGAGTTTTCATAATTAAGACTGAAAACTGCCAAATAAGTCATTCGAATATTTTACCTGTGATTTGATAGGGGCTTTCCGGCTCGGAGGAACTTCTAGGGGAATCAGGGTAGCCCACATTGTTTGGAGAGTGGAGAAAGATGTTGCTGGGTGAAGTAGAGAACGGAGTACACGATGGTTGCTGGAAAGACTCGGGGAAGGTGGCGTTGTGTGGCATTAGTGGTTCATTACTGATGGAGGTGTTACGAAACTTGGCGAGCAGGCTGAGCTGTGGGTTAAACTCGCTGTGTCTTGGAACCAGTACCGGTGGGAGGACTAGAAATAAAATAAAAGATGCTTTCAAGAGTTGACCTCTCTTCTTCAGGTCAGAAGCAATACTGATCAACATGATAGAGTTTACCACTTAAAGCAGTGTAAAGTTGTTGGGGGGGGAGGGGGGGTCGGGGGGTGAGGGGGGTGTCATAAATGTTGGACCTGGGAGTAAAGAATGCATCCTGATAACCAAAAGACAGAACAAATAAACATAGAATGACCAATAAACCCTAAACAGATCAGAAATAACTGTATACAGTAATACCTTGGTTTACGAGCATAATTCGTTCCGGAAGCATGCTTGTAATCCAAAGCGCTTGTATATCAAAGCAAATTTCCCCATAGGAAATAATGGCAATTCAGATGATTCGTTCCACAACCCAAAAATATTCATATAAAATTATTACAATACTGTACTGTAATATAATACTGTACAAAATATAAAGAAAAATAAACCAATGACCGGTACCTTTGTTGGTGGTGTGAGAGGGACAAGAGAGAGGAGGATTATTGTGTAGGACAACTTTCACTATCACTAACGGAATCACTGCTATCTCTTGACTCAATGGAATCTTTTTCATTTCGTGAAACCTTAAAGTGACATTAAACCCTCAGATGTTTTAACAGAAACCAATACTGTAATGTGTGCCTTACTGTAATCCATGGTAGTTTCCCTTCTCTTTGCTGCTCTTCCTTTTAAATCCTCATGTCTTCTCATCCTTGGGGAGAACTTCCCTTTGCAGCTGTGGCCTCTTCTTGTAGTGCTGGCTCAGGTTGCAAACCTACACACAGACACCATGTATCCATTCCAGAGACAAGGCAGTCTGCTGCAAAACAGAAGTTCTGCCCAGCATGAGAACAGATACAGATTTAAAAGGTTATCAGGATGCATTCTTTACTCCCAGGTCCAACATTTATGACACCCCACTCATCCCCTCCCAACATCGTTCTCTTACTTTAAGTGTTAAACTCTGTCATGTTGAGTAGTATTGCTCCTGACCTGAAGAAGAGAGGTTAACTCTCGAAAGCTTGTCTTTTAAATATTATTTTTTACATTATATATATTTATATAATCACTTTTTATCACAAATCCCTGTCTTTTATGATGCTACATGGAGTCTATGACTTCCGCAGATCCTAGGATCTCTCAGATTTCACTTGCAGGTACAATGATACTCTAGTGCAGCTTTTCTCAACCAGGGTGCCGTGACACATCAGGGTGCCTTCTGGCTTCATCAGGGATCCCTGGAAATTTTGTGACGGTAGGACTCTGATGTAAAGCAGAAACTCTGATGTAAAAGGAGGGATTCTAATATGAACGGGGGGCTCTGATATAAAATGGGTTTCTGATGTAAAGGGGGCTTCTAATGTGAAGGGTGGTTTCTGATGTGAAGAGGAGCTTCTGATGTAAAAAGGAGTGTCTAAAGTGAAAGGGGGGCTTTGATGTGAAGGGGGGCTCTTGATTTAAAGGGAGAACTTTGATGCAAAGGGTAGTATTCCATTTTTTCATGTGTTTTTACGTGGGGATCCCCTTCTTACATTTTAGACTGGGGTGCCTCAAGATTTTGCATGCTCAGGGTGCCATTACTGAAAAAAGGTTTTTGGGGGTCATGTAAGTGGGTTACATAAAAGGAGGGGGGTTCTGATGTAAAAGGAGGGGGCTTCTAACATGCACAGGAGCTATTGACATAAAGGGGGACTCTGATGTAAAAGGAAGAATTCTAAAGTGAAAGGGGGGCATTGAGGTTAAGGGGGGCTCTTGATGTGAAGGCAGAACTTTGATGCAAAGGACGGAACCCCACTTTTTCATGTGTTTTTGCATGGGGGTCCCCTCCTTACATTTTAGACTTTTTAGACAGAAATAAAAAAAGGAAACGCTGCTCTAGTGCCACCATTAAAGCAGAACTACAATAAAAACATAAAGCGTTAACTTTACAATGGGACTTCCCCAGCATTGCAAGGGTTAAATGCTCCTTTTTGTCTACGGGGAACAGAAAAAGCACTTTTACTTACCGTATCCTACGCCCCGCATGCTTCCTCCAAGCTGCACAACTGTTCCCCCAAAGTTACTTCTCTTTGCCACCTTGTTCATGATCACGTACAATGCAGGGCCAACAGTCCTGCATTGTGAGTGGGGATGAAGAGGGCCCCCCTCAACCCGGAGCGTTGGCAAGCTGAGAAGAGCGTTATCTGCCAGTGGAGAGAGGAACAAGGTGAAGTGCAACTGCCTTTTCTTTTCCCCTTAGAAAAAAGCAAGCATTTAACCCTTAACGTGCAGGGGAGCCCCACCGCAAGGGAAACTCTTTATTTACTGCAATTCAGCTGTAAGTCACACAGGGTGACTTTTAGGCAACAGGTCCCTTGTAAAAGAAGTATTTATATACTTACATTTCAGTGCAGTGCATTAAAAAGCTGATGCTTCATTTTCCCGCAGCCGCACCAAGTATTTTACAATTGTGGTACTGTAGAATACATGCTTCCCCTCTGGGCACTGTGGTTCCTCCCACCAGCCCGGTACAATACTACAGGATGTACAAGCCGGCGGTTGATGGTTGAAACCATATCGCCAGACGGGGGGAGCAATTGTTCAAATCATCTGACAGTCGAATACTTGCAGCGGCTGGGGAAGATATTGTATTATTATATATATAATATGTTATATTATATTTTGTTATATTGTCTTATATATAGAGTTAATATATTTAATTTCATATGCCTTTAGTTTTATTTTTCTCCACATTTACATGCAAGTCAAGCTATACAGCAAAAATGAAATTTTTAGGAATTGGGAAGAACTGTAACAATGGCAGAGGAGCTTGAACAGTGCACTATAACTTTTTTTTATTAGTAATAAAAGATAGGGATTGTAAGCACCCCTCTGGCCATGTTATATGGTGTGTCCCAACCCCATGTCACGTGTTGTGCATAGCTTGGCGTATAAATAAATGTGAAGAAAAATGTAAGTAAAGACATGTGAAACACAAAAGTAATTCATATGCTGAATGCTTTCATCACAGGTATTATCTGCATTCAGTTAACAAAATACAATTTTTTTTTTTTTTTATCATATTGGTCCTTTAAAGCGTATTTCCACTTTTTTTCAGGCAAATTGGGATATCACCTACTTTATATTTGTAATATGTTCCCATTTATACTGCATAACTTAATAAAATAATTAAAAATCACTCATTACCTTTTAAGTGCCTTATGCTTGCTTACAAATCCCTCCTATGTAATGTGATGGAGGGGGGTGTGAGAAGTTATGTTTACTCTAATGAACCCTGTCTGTACTGTGCTGGCAGATTTCATAATCAGTTGTAATATAGATGTGAACACTGTCTGTCCTAACAAAGGGTTAAAGACTCAGAAGTATGTATTGCAGTTAGTATTGTATGTTAATGAGAAGTAGCTCAGTCTATCCTTCGGTTTGCCCCTCTACTTTTACTTCTAAACTGCTCTGCGTAGCCTGGAGTCTGCACAAAGGTCTTCACCAAAGAAACATCTAAAAGGTTAAAAAAAAACATTTTTGCGGTTGTTAGGCTGTGTGTTATTTTTTGTTACATATTAAACATATAGAGGGGATTTCTCAAATTCAGCTGCAAATGTGGAAATGCATTTTAAGACTGTCGGCAAAATAAGTTGCTGAAACCTAGATAGGGAAGAAGGCTCCCATAGACTGACAGTAATAGTTACCTGGAGTTTCCACCCGGCGGTAATGATAAGGATTGATGCAGACATCCTTCTGTTTTGATCCGAATGGGAACTCGCAGCATTCAAGTGGTTTTAACTCATGATGTGACTGCAGATCTGGCCACCTCCAGACCCTACAATAGATGACATGTGGCAGACCCTTACGATGTGACACTTGTAGCCTCCCGTCCAGTGACCTTGGGATGGTGACACATTTACTGGACTGTCCTGGTGTACTGAGCGCCCTCTCCAGCTCTTCCATGGCACCCTTCTTTTTCTTCAGCTTCTTCACTAAAGAATCCACGGCCTTTTCCGCCCATTTTTCCTCTTCATCTCCTTGCTTCCAGCCCAGCAGCCGTTTTACTGCTGGACTTGTGAAGGAGAACAAGGAACTTATTGGGGTGCTGGTGTGCATAAGACCTGTCAGTGTCACTTGTCAGTAGGCTTCTGAAAAGACCCGGTGGTTGAATCTTCTGACTTTGTGAAGTAACTTTTTCAAACCTGATTGTTCAATATCAGATTATAGTAACTGGTATCCTGATGAAGAAAGAATAGCTACAGTCAGAGTGTTGTAAAATAGAGTTAATGCTAATGACTTCAGATGACAAAGCAGATTTTTTTTAACCACTTAAGCTCTAATACCTCTATACCTCTATGGACCAGAGCAATTTTTACATTTCCTGTTTATTTGGCAATAAATAGTAACACATGCCATGTTTTTTGGAAAAAAAAATAGGCTCTCTTTTGACAATATTGTTGTGCAAAAATATTTTCTAAGGAATCTATCAAAAAAAATAATAAAATATGAAAAAAATTGTATTTTCTGTTTTGACCAGTGTTATATATATAAAAAAGCAGCTTTAGTGTAAATAAAAAGTATACATTTTATTCTACAATTTGTCAAATTTAAAATGACAATAAAATTATGTTTCTGATACAATATGGCAAAGTTTTTTTTTTTTTATTTTGCACATAAAACACTGAAACATGTAACAAACAAAATGAATTAAAATGAAAAAAATAGTAAAAAAGAAAACACTAAAAAAAAAATCAGGAAAAAGATAGCGAAGCAGATCTGGGATGTCCCGTACATTGCCTCCCCCGCATCACTGGAATGCTATCCCTCTTTCAAGACCTGCACTTGAGCAGCGCTCCTTCTGTCACCACAACAGATACCAGGGGAGAGAGCGCACATTGTTCATGGTCTTGCAAGAGGGAGAGCACTGGTTCCAGTAATACTGGGGGTGTACTGGATATATGGGTCATCCCAGATCACAGGCAGGATGGCAGTACTAGTTTTTTAGCCAGGAACCAGGCTGTGGGTAAACCTTTAGGGCTGGTGCAGACCTGGCCGATCCAGGATCCAGGACGCTGCACCATTGATTTCAATGGGGTTGCATCCACGCAGCAATCGCAGAAAAAAGGCACATGTACCTTTTTTTGCAACACACACCGCGCGGTTGTTTTAGCCGCAATCATGTTCGGTTGCACAGGCGAATTTGTGGCGGAAAACTAATGGCACCTCCAGCGTGATCGGTGGTGGTGGGCGATTCCGTCACTGCGCGGCCATCTGCACGGTTTACTGCACGATTGCTGTGCGGTCATGGATCGCCATAGTGTGAACCTGGTCTCATATGCCTACAGGTATTGCAACTAAACATTTTAAAGCCACACAGTGTTTTTAAATGTACACATTTGCAACACACACCGCGCGGTTGTTTTAGCCGCAATCATGTTCGGTTGCACAGGCGAATTCGTGGCGGAAAACTAATGGCACCTCCAGCGTGATCGGTGGTGGTGGGCGATTCCGTCACTGCGCGGCCATCTGCACGGTTTACTGCACGATTGCTGTGCGGTCATGGATCGCCATAGTGTGAACCTGGTCTCATATGCCTACAGGTATTGCAACTAAACATTTTAAAGCCACACAGTGTTTTTAAATGTACACGGCACCCCTGACTGCATACTGCATTTTTTGCAAAGGGGAACTATTTAATTCCATCAGGGGCATCAATCCCATCATGCCTCTGGGTACCTTTACAGTCATCTGCCATATCAGGATGGGGAGAGCCTACTGCAATATTCGCCTATGGGATTAGTAAAAGGGAAGCTTGCTGAACACATTATTGTGCTTTCCTCTAAAACTTTCATGTTGGATATTCAGCTCAACTAACCTCCCAAAATTTGCACACAGGTAACTGTAAATCCGATAGATAGATAGATAGATAGATAGATAGATAGATAGATAGATAGATAGATAGATAGATAGATAGATAGAAAGATACTGTATATAAATAGTGTAGTTTAAAGATGATACCTGGTGGTCTTTTTTAAATGAACATATGGGTCTCTGATTGCCACCCAAAGCCAAGAAGAATTTACAGACTACAGACAACAAACGTTTACCCATCACTGCACTCCACCTGCAGCCAGCCAGATGAGCCAAGCCATAGCGGGCATTAATAGCCGCTCTAAAAGCTTTATTTGTTTAGCCTTGTGAAAAGAGAAAATGTGACAGCAGATCACTGAACATCGCTGTTTATATTGTACAAATGTTTTCCTTTATAGAGGGCTTGGAGAAGAACACTGATCCCTTTTAAGTCAAATGAAATTACTAGCCGGTGACATCAGCGTGAACTAGAGCACCATTCTTGTCAATGGGAGCCAAGCCAAGATTGTCAATTAAAGACAGAGCCATAGAACGCACACTATGTCATATCAGTGCTGACCTTTTTAATGCCAGGTCTTAGTGCTCAGTGCTATTTCACTGCATTTTACCATTTTATGCAGCATTACTAAATAGGCACAAAACAGGGATGAAGATAAAGTGAAGATATACGACTGTCCGTTCTGTTATGGATGGAAGGCGATAGCCTTGTGTGGGAAAACTGTTCTGGTAGCTCTAATGTTCCTGTAGAAATCACCTTAATAGACTGTTTCCATTGTTAGGCCCTATCAGGATGTCAGTGGTTTGCCCCTTGAAATCATTGGTGCAAAGACCTTAGTGCCAGTAAATCCTAACAATGTCTTTCTCTTATTTGCTCCCTTTTGGTCTGTTAAATACACCATTCAATGCGTTTTGTTATATCTGTTCAATGTAAAAAAACAAACAAAACATTGATCCTTGCAAACAACTTGTGAGCTGCTAACTTTCTGTGCTCACTGCCTGGCAGTTATCAGTTAACATTGTTTTCAGCTCTCTCTGTGGACTGCTGAACACCCCGCATGCTATGGAGAAGAGGAGATGGAGGGTTTCTGAGTCTTAGCACTTTGCTGCCTGAGCCATTTATTTTTTTCATTTATTGCATATGTTAAAATGCACATTTTGAGCCTTAAAATTGCTTTAATCAGTATCAGTAAAAAATACAGTCAAAGTTGATGTTCAGTAAATATACGGCACGTCAAATCTGTACAGGCTTATGAAACAGTGAAAATGACGGGATCCAAAACTGTCCATAAGCGACTCTTTATAAGCATTTTTAGTTCATCAGTGAATGATGGCCGTAGAATTATTGCTCTTGTCCAGGCGTGCGTGGTAATACCTAATATGTATGGTATAATACTCGTTTTCATATGTGTGCGCTATTGCATTCACTGGTGGGTGTAAAGGGTGGCGGGGGGGGGGCTTTGTTTTTGTTTGTTTATTTTATAAACTTTATTTTTTCAAATATTGTTCTTTTTTTTTTAAACTTAAATTAATTGCTGTCACAAGGGGGGTGATCAGCCCTCATGTGACAGCATAGTACAGGTGACAGGTCCTTTTTAGGGAGACATGAGGGGTCTATTACCCCCCTAATGTTTGCTCTGCACTCTGTTGAAGCTAATTAAGCACAGAGTGTGCTTGATCAGCTTTTTCCCCCACCTGTTCTGAACCCAGAGTGCTTCTGGGCTCATACTACCCAAGGAAGCTGCTCTCCATCCTGAGACCCACCATGGATGTCCCTGGCATTTAGCAGGGGCAGGTGAGCCTGGCACACATGGTAGAGGGCGTGTTTCCTTTAGCGCAAAAGTCAAGTAAAAATGTGTACACAACCTTCAGTCACCATACTCTGTTTAAGATGAACATTTGGAATTAGGCATTCATTAAATTGATCCTTTACATAAATGTAAAGCTCTGAAATTAAAAGTTCTCCCAAAGGGTACCATGAGATGGCTGCTATTCCCCTTATTAGTCAGAAAACCCTTTTATACGTCTCTTTCTGATTTAGTTTGAATTTGTTAATGGGGCCTGACATTCCCTGACTTCATTAATAAGTTAGTACCAGTTTGTAATTTTATACCTGGCCAGATGGCAGGTAAAAGGGGTTGCCTGGTGTCCAGGACCTTATCGTAACCTGCATTATATGATTCACACACTGTAACAAGCTCTCCACCCTACAGATCCTTGCTTTGCCACCTGTATCCTCCAGAAGAGTTCCAAGCAATTGCTACATCAATGCCAAATGTTTCGGGATCTGAATATGTCTAATTGATTATGCCAGCTATGGAGAACCCAGCTTGAATGTGAACATATGTAAATTTTATATTTGATTGTTTTTAAACAAACCCTAAGATTATCTTTTTATGCAAATCCACTAGAAAAACACTTGGATTCAAAATGCCAAATCCCATATCTGCATATATGATCAGCAGTTACAATACTTTGGTATCCATAAACAGGGGGACTGTTGCAAGACAACACTAAAAACATATACTGCAACAACCTGGTCCAGCTGAAATGTGTGTATTAAGAGCTGTGTCCTCTTATAAGAAACTGTAGAGTTGAACAATTTGATTCCATTTGGAGGGCAAGGATTCTCTTCACGGGTGCAGAAAGCTCAGGGCCTATACATTTCAGGTTACTGCTTGTTTGCTAGTTTATTGATCAGCGATATATCTCAGGGATTAAACCTTGTGAATATATAAACTTAAATACACAAGAAGTGATCCAGAATTACATTGAGGCTCACACTCTTCTAGACAGTCGTGCCTATTATTCCTTTTCTCTTTGTACTCTCATGCCTAGATAATAATATACACTGAGTGTCCAGATTATTATGACCACCCCATCAGTACTTTGTTGGGCCACAAGATGACTCCATGAGATGACTTTGTTGGGCCGCCTTGTGACTCCACGAGATGTTGAAAGGTGATGCGAGGAATCTGACACTGCACTGTTGCCCTTCTGTTGTCTTGTACCAGTCTTGCCACTCTCCGTTCTGCCCTAACATTGACTAGTCACTGACGGCCACAATTCGCACTTTCAGACCCAGATTTTTGGCTGACAGTCCAGTCTTTAAACACTTTAACAACAGCTGCTCTTGAACATTTAAGTATCAGCTGTTTTGCTGATACTCGCTCCATGGCTCCAAGCTCCAAGAATCATCCCACGTTCAAAGGCTGTTAAATCGCGTTGTTTACCCATATCTTCAGGAAAAAATCACTTCTACTGTCGTGGTAAACAACCTGCTTCCCTGTTTAT